AGAGCCCGCTGTTGCACTGCTTCTGGAGAAAGATGATGTACAAAATATTAACTGGCAAAAGAAACCGCATTAAAACACAGATAACTTTTAATATGAATTTCACCCATATTACTGAGCTTTCAATTTTAGTGTTATCTCACTCACAAAGCATTCAAAACAACTGCGCAGGTGAGCAGCGAGGCCATGCAGAGGAAATAATATTGTTAAAGTTCAGTGAAATGTCGTCATTTATGGCATTGTGGGCATTTACCTGTGCTCAGAAGGCAAATGGTGATGAGTTTCATTCATAAAGGTCTSTGACCTTTTGCATTCTCAGTTCCTCTCCAGAATCAATTCTGGTCGATGGCACCAAGCACCCAATTTTCAGGTGATGAGAAAGTTTRTTTTTTCAAGGTCTGAGCACTGTGCAGGAATTCTCACAGTAGCTAATGTGCACCTTGAAGACTGAACATTCTGAGGTAATGAGATTTTCCCCTGGGCTATACATTTAGTTTGAAGGAGGCAAAAGCTTGGATCTGCAACCACCCTCACAGCTACCCAAAGATTTCTGGAGTTTTTATAGATTTATAGAATGATCAAGGTTGGAAAAGACCTTTAAGATCATCAACTCCAACCACCAGCCCCACACCACCACCGTGTTCACCATCACATCATGTCCTCAAGTGCCATGTCTGCACATTTTCTGAACACTTCTGGGAATGGTGAACAGCCTTTCCATGAAAAACTTTTCCTAATATTTAATTTAAAGCTCCCCTGGTGCAACTTGAGGCCATTCCTCTTGTCACTTGTCACTTGGGAGAAGAGCCTGACCCTCCCCTCACTAGACCCTCCTTTCAGGGAGTTATAGAGGAGAGAGAGTCCCCTCCTTTTCTCCAGGCTCAGCACGGGCTGGCCTTTCTCAATATCAACGATGTGTCTGCTCCAGAATATAAATCTGGAATCCACACCGACATTGAAATTCTATTTATTATAACCATTTCCATTTCTCCCCTCTTTTTCCCAAGCAACACACATAGGAGATGGTGACTAACACGGAGGCTGTWTAAATACATGCTTATCTGTGAACTTTAAGCCACGAGTTCTTTGTATTCTCCTTCTGCATTGATGCTCAGAACCTTGCAGCTAATTGCACATTTGTTAATTGTAGCCTGCTTTTCTCAACCTCTTTCATTTCAGCTCAAAAAAGGAAACACGATAATGGTGACTCTGCAGATACTCTAAAATAACCAACGTTTTTCTGAATCTCAGCATTACTTTCTTCTGTGAATAACAAATCTGTCTCTGCAGATRCTATTCTATACAGTTCTGAATATTTTTTCAGATTACACTAAAAATGAAAGTGACATGAAATAGTGAAAATCATATTTAAAGTTAGCTGTGTTTCATAGTGGCATTTTACCAGTTAGATGTTCTGTCAAAAACTTTACAAAAGCTTCTGATTGTGAGGCTGCTTTTTCAGTACTACAGGGATGGCATTTATGGTAATGTTGTATCAGCAAAACTACCAATGCAGGTATTTTGCTTTTTATCTTGCTTTATAGCCCTTTATACAAGGCCTTCCCATAACACTTCTGCAGTAGCATTAATTTCATAAAGGTCCTGAGGGTCGTTCTTATTTTCAGTCAAATAACAATAACCAAGAATTTTAATGATGCTCTTGCWTTAGTGTTGTTATATTCAGAATTGTTATAAAATTCAACAATGTATGAAAATGTCATTGCTAGGGATGAATGAAGCAGCTCATCTGAAAATGAAAATCAGCCCAAATCTTTCAAAAGGTGTTCAAAAAACTTCAGGTAATTTCATTTCTCTCTCCCCACTGGCACTTCTCAGGTACTTCTACAAGTTCCGGTGCCTGAAATATCATCGTAATTGATTTTTYTAGACAAAGGAAGTGCTTAGAGCTAATTATCTAAACTTAAGTACAGCATTTGGTACAGTGCCATGTGGGAAATTATTAGCTAAAAGTGGAGATAAAGACAGAAATCGAAAAGTGAATAAGAATGTGAGGGTAGGAGSAGATCAGTACTGAGGGAAGCTAGTAGGGTTTCTCAAACATCATTCTTRGGCCTAGTAATATTTAACATTTTTTAATAATGATGATCCATAAAAAAATAAGCGTGTGCTAATGGAATTTACCAGTGGCATAAGGGAGGGAGGCGCTGTCACTGCAGAGACAAATAACACTCTCATTTAGAAAGAACTGAGTGACCTTGAGAGTAGGATAAATTAGAAAAAATTCAGAAGGATTTGACTGCCAGTTCATACATCTGGATCTGGGTAATCAGGTTTCTACTCTAGCTACAGGCTCACAGGTAAGAACAGACTAAAGAGGGGAAAACACAGACCATGCAAWGCCAGGTCTGTTCACCAGAGTCATGAAACACCTCTAATGGTGTGAGAGGCACGTGTTAGAAATCAGCCAGATAGTGCACACTGCCCACAAATGCTGCACTTTGCTTTTGGGAGACTGTGGGAAAGGTGATTAGAGTGACCATGGAAAGGGAGAGCCTGCAGTGCAGAGGAATTTGGCAAAATGAACGCTGAGGGAGGCCACTATAAATACTACATGGGCATAAGCTCTAGGAAGAGAAAACATCTATTTAAACTGAAGGACAACATTGGCACAAGAACAAATGAGCATAAATTGGTCATGAATAAATTTAGGATAGGAATTGGAAGCAGGTTTCCAAACAACAGAACAGCAATGTTCTGCAATTGCKTTCCAGTGAGAACAGTGGAAACAACAACAAACCCCAAGCTACTTTTAAGATGGACTTAAATGAGTTTCTGAAAGGGATTATATGATGTTTTTGGCTAAGATAGCAGACAGGTAGACTTGATGACCCAAGAGGTTTATTCAGTCCTATCTGCCTAAGACTGTTTTTCATGACCAAATATTTCAGAGCACTTTTAAGTACTTCCTTTCCTTCATGTATTTTTTAGATAAATTTTTTATAGCATACTGCAGGGACTGCTAGCTGGACTGATTTAGGGAAGGCACAAAACAGTGGTGCCCAAAATATGCTGAACACTCTCCAAACAAAACAAGACAAGCGTGCAGTGTCCTACAGGGCAGTGCTTGGGTGCTTAAAGAAATCCCCATTTTCTGTGCAGGGCAGTGGGCACACAATCCCAGCAGGAGCAGCAGCCCTTCAGCCTCAGTTCTCTCTCATTTGCTCGTGCTCCCAAAAAGTGCTGCTCTATTCTGCAGTTTGCCTTCTCAGCCCCACTGCACGGGTGCAGCAGTGTGAAACAGGATGGCAAACAATGCTTTAGATCCACAAGATTAATGGATGAAATCCGGAGCAGGCAGTGTGGGTCTGACTGGGTGACAAACTGCAGTGGAGGTGGCGTCTTTGGGGACATCCCTGCAGCCTGGCTGGTGTGGCACAGAGCTGGGTTAGAATGTTATGGTTTCTCTCCTCTCAGCTCAGGAAGCCCCTGTGTCCTTTGGTTTGGTTTATCCTGCTTGGTGCCTCAGTGTTCCTGTCCCTTGCTYCCAAACCCAGCATTTCCGTGGCTTCTTAAAAGCTGCAATTCCCCTGCTCAGTGTGGCCATAAAGGGATTTGCATGGAATCCTGGGGCTGAGGTTCAGTAGCTGGAGTTTTATASATTTCTTAACCAGACCAGCAAAATTGGGTGTTTACAGCTGTTTTACATGAACAGATGCTTCTCCATCCAGGTGCTGGAGAATGCAGGTAGGGCTGGGTCATGTGGTGACTCCCTGATTAGGAGAGGATCTCACAGTGAAAAGTTTTATGATTTTCTTTAGTTGAAATCTGACGAAGGGGACAATGAGATCCGCAGAATTGAATGATTCTGGCTGGTTTTCCTCTCCAGCTAATTACACACAGACTTTTTCTGAAATCAGCTATTAATATTGAGAATAGGTTAAGAAATGGGAAAGTTGGATGAAATCCCCAAGAGCACAGGTAGTTTGGAAAATGAGAAGAAATAGGCAGCAGCTTTACAGCTTGTTGCCATCCACATTAATCAGATTTGCAGTAGGCAGCAGCTACTTTATGTGCAAATACTTTAACAACTGGCTTAAAAAACCAAGCAGGATGTCTGAGTCCCCAGGTTCAYGTAAAGGGGGTAATGAATACCTGCATAATGAGATAGAAAGGCCATAAACTTGCTGGTGGGAGTTTTCAGTCTCTGTTCAGCTGAGGTTTGTGCAGCTTTCTCAGCCTCTCAGTGCCAGGCAGGGAAGCAGCCACTTCTCTCCCTGTGGAGAAAGAGGCTCTTGGTGCCTCCAAACCCTGCAGCTTTGCCATCACTGACTTTGTGCAGCGCCCCATGCAYGAGCTACCCTGTGACTCTTGGATCAGAAACGCCCATCCCTCAAAAGGAAAAACTAAAGGTAGTTTGAAAAAAATATATTTTCAAGGAAAAAWTTTATTGGAGATCAAAACTAAAAGACATGCACCGTGAAATGGTTGAGAGAAAACACTCTGAGTGATTAAAACTTAAAAAGAGCAGCCATTATTTTTGGTATTTTWAAATGCAATTATTTTCCTGAACTGTGTGTATCTCAAGAGCTATATTTTCACCTTTTTTTAACCTCAACCAGGACACAGCATCTGTGAGCACCTGGGTGAGGTGTTTTCATTCTGCCCTGTCCTGCTAATAAACTGAATTTCAAAGCAATCATTCATAAGCGCTACCCATACCTGTTGCTGTATTTCACTGAGTTCCTCTGCTGACCCTCTTGGGTTAGCACCAGAGGAGTGAAGTGCCTGTCCCAGCTGCCAGCAGCAGTGCCCGCTCCTGCCCTCCCTGTCCCAGCCAGGACAGCTGTCCCCTGAGCATCGTGTGCCTCGCCAGTGCCACCGCTGCGAGCAGAGCCACATGGCTGAGGGTGATGTGAAATGACACCTCCGCACGGAGCTGTGATGGTGCGACGACGGTACAGCCTACGTCAAAGGAAAACGGAAAGGGGCAAAGGAAAAAAAAAAACCCACAAAAATTGCTCGTTCCTCACKCTTCCCTCAGTGCTGTCTCAGCCCGAGCAGAGGCTTCAGAGGTGTGAACACATCCTGTTTACATCTGCCGCGGGACAGGGAGGCTGCGGGGAGCGCTGGGCTCCGCACGGGCGGGAGCGGCCCCGCAATGGACGCGGTGCCCGTGTACCACGGGGCCATCAGCCGGGAGGCCGGGGAGAGGCTGCTGCTGGCCGCGGGCACGGACGGCAGCTACCTGCTGAGAGACAGCGAGAGTGTGCCCGGGGTCTACTGCCTCTGCGTGCTGTGAGTGCGGCTGGGCAGGGGATGGGGTGGGCAGGGGGTGGGTAGAGGATGGGCATGGGGATAGGCAGGGGATGGGGATGGGCTGGGGGTGGGAAGAGGATGAGATGGGGATGGGGATGGGCAGAGAATGGGATGGGGATGGGCTGGGGATGGGCAGAGGATGAGGATGGGCAGAGGATGGGGATGGGCAGAGGATGGGCAGGGGCTGGGGATGGACATGGCGATGGGGTTGGGAATGGGCAGGGGATGGAGCTGGGGATGGGGCTGGAACTGGGGCTTCCAACCTTCCCCTCCACAAAATGAGGTGTCCTTGCAATGAAATATGCTCCAATGATACCGTCTGCTTACATGGGTAAGACTTTCTTTGGCTGCTTCAMCTTGGCTGAAGGCAGAGGGGTGCTAAGGGGTGTGGGGTCTGTCACAGAGTGAAGAGGAGCAGGTTTTGCTTTGCAGAGCCCACGCTTCCTACGGGCAAAAAGCCATAAAGACAAAGCAGGCCAGCGCACAGGAAGGATAAGCGAGGGGCTGTGGAGCGGTGCCAGGCAGACTGGCTCAGGATGTGTGTGCTGCCTCTCTGTGCTGGGTAATCCTCTTGCTTTCTGCCTGTGTTCTGCTTCTCTGGAGTGCTCAGCAGCGTCCACAGCGTTCCTGTCATTGGGAAAGGTAACATGGAGTGCTGCCATCCTGAATGTGCTCTCAGTCAGCTCTGTGTCCCTCCAGCCACTGGGCTTGGAGCAAACTACCTGTGGTGCACATGAAATGCTGATGGTAACAAACGAGGTGGTAGCATTTCGAATAGGGCAAAAAGGGGGAGATCTGATGGGATGGTTTGTCAGAGAAAGGGTAAATGTTCCCCTGGGAGAGCTGAGGGGTCTTTATATTCATAGGACTTCATTTTAGTGAGGAAATTTAATTTCCCTACTGTTGGCAAAAGTCTTGGAAGTCCTGGTAATGCTGTACCATTGCATCAGCAGCATAAAGATGTGTATCGAGACACTCAGCTTTTCTTCAGTAGGAGAAGAAATGCAAGCAAAAATCCTTTTAGGTCCAGTATGAAATTAGCCAGCAGAGGGAACTCAGGCAGCTGGCAAAAAAAACACAAGAGGAAGAAGAGTCCCAAGTCAGGTTTTCCCCAAATCTCTTGAATACCTTTCCAACAATATGTAATTAAGCCCCGGGTGACCATCATTATCTTCCTGTTATAGACAGTAAATGGAGATGTACAAGGAGCTTATAGCCAATCCAAAATACACAATCTCTTCTCAGAGGGAAACCTTTGTGGCAGAAGATGTATTTCTTCTTCTCTCATGAAACCAGGTGAACCAAGATAGGTGTTCCTGCTAACAAATACCTTAACAGCGAGCTGAAAAATGGGAAATAAGAAGCATCTTGAGTTAAATGAAAATGGAATAGACATAGCAAGAGGTAAGGAGTGCTATGATTCCTGTGATGGGAATAGGCAATAAAAGCAGAATCTCTTTTAAATAACTATCAGAGGAAACGGGGATATATCACCCTTACACTCAGGAGTCATTCAGAGCAGGTGAAACACTAAGGCATTAAAAAGGGTCAGGAAGAGTGTTACAATGCTGAATAAAATAGAGAATACTAGGATTAGCCCACYATCAGTCAAAATCAAGATGTAGATTTATAACAAGGTCTTTCATTTGCACACAATCAGTTGGGATTTTTTGCTATATTAGTGGTAATTTATGCCCTTTGAAAGAAATTTCATGAATGAAATAAAATATGGAAAATGAAAATAGGAGGAAATTAAAGCATTTCAAACTGTGAAGCTCTGCAATCTTTGGAGCAAAAGATACTTCAGTTAGAAGCAGAGCACTACGTAATTGTTTCYAGAAATTATGGGCCATTCATGTCTTCATGGCATGTTGCATTCAAACACATATGTGATAAACAAAAGGGTAAAAGAAAAGAAAAAAGTGAATATTATACAGACTCCTTACAGAAGATAGTAGATATTATATAAAGGGAATTAGGAAATTTGCAGTAGCATCTTGGATAAAGCCAGGTAAAAAATAAAATGAAAAATATTATGATGCATGTGATCTGCTCCAGACAGAAAGGTGGCTGAAGAATGCATTAAGCCTTGGTTCCAATACTTCTTAATATTAAATTCAAATCATTACATAAGAAAAAGCAGATATGGTAAACAGCCTGTCACACAATAACTGTGGAGACAGTTTTCATAAAGATACCAGGAAAGGATCCCACACTGAGATAGCAGTGACACTTTGAAGAAATGTGGGCTATAAACTAGAGAAATGCTTTGACAGGCAAGGTTTGCCAAAGCAGAGTGCTTTGGTGGAGAGGCTGGAGGAGCAAGAAGGGAAGGCATGAGAGATGGAGAKGTATTTGGATGGCAGTGGCATCATCAGCTTGAACTCACGTTGGTGGCTGCTCTGCATTTCCAGGTACAGTAATTGTCAAAATCTCTGATTTCACTGCATTGCTTAGGCCCAATGTCTCCTTTTCCCAAGAAATTGCATAAATTTGTAATGACACAATCACTGCCACACCCTCCCCCTCGTGCACCGCCAAAAAGCTCAGATGTGTTTTGGCAGGCTTTGAGCCTCCTAAGGCACACAATAAGGACTGCAGTGCTCTTGGTCAGGCTCATTCACCTTTTGCTTTTCCAATTAAAAAGCGGAGCCCTGACCTTTAAAAAGGAGAAGAGTCAAAGACTTCATGAATCCCTTGTGACTGACACTGATTTTACAGGGCAAGCATAAAAGAGACAGGTAGTAGCATAAAACCTGACCTATAGAGATGGGTAACAACAGCAGGCAGGACCCTCTTGGAGCATTCATCTAGGAAACTCTGCTTTCCCTCTTCTTTGTTTCTCCTGAGCTGCTGATTTATCTCCCTGGAATGCTGCTTTCCACTTTCTGAAGCCGGGCTGTGCACATGGTGTGCCTGAAAGCCTTCAAAGAGACAATGAATGTTTTCTTGGTGTGACTGCGGCAAAGCACAGAGGACCCRCTTTCACAAATATTTTAAGACCACAATTAAACTATGCACGGAAGAGTAGGAAGGTTTTGATTTGCAACTGTGTGCCCCGGGGCTCTTGCAAACAGAGGTGCTGCCTTTGAATTTTGGCAAGGATTTTAATACCAGATGCTCCTAGGTATTCATTCAATATCATTATTGAATTGATAATAAATACTTGGAGGATGTTGTGAATACGGCAACAGAGGTACACAATATTTTCCTGGAAATTTTTAGTGTTGCATTGAAAAAGAAGTTTTTTGCTGTTCCCGAAAACTGGGCTGCATATGCTTTAAAAAACATACACGTTTTACCCATAAACAAGTTAGAACTACACACAGTACACCAGGGTTTTAATATCAAACCTGATTGTTCCAGGGAGCTTTCTTTACTGGTCTGGTTTCCCCTTTGCTCAATGCCCCATTTGACATTTTTAGCACCCTCAGAAATCCTCTGTGCTCACGGCTCCTAATGAAGTCAATGGGGGACACGGGACACACTAATGGTGACTGCTTTGAGGAGCAGCCTCTTAAACCCTGCCTGAAAAATGTATAAATAAAATGCCTGAGAGTGCCAAAAGCCCCACGTTCCTTTGCAGATATATGAGCACACATGCAGAAACAAGCAGCTCATGCCTGAATTGGCAGAGATAAAGCATTTCTAGTTGGGGTTTTAAAATTCATATACTTGAAAATACTGAGAATGTTAGTAGTTGTTTCAGAGCTTTAAGTAAGACAAACATGACGTGCTTGTCAAACTGTGTGTTCAGATGATTTGTTTGAAACCAGCCGTTCGTGTACTGTGCTGCATTCAATTTGTGGAGAATAATCAAAAACTGGAATTGAAAGCTGTTTAGAGCTCTTGAAGCAACAGTAATGGCAACAGGGATAGGCTGCAGTCCTATCAGATTTTACGTGTGCTATTTTTTCTGTCGCTGTAACCACGGTGCACAAGTTCAAGGCAACGTGCTGAAACTTTGTGATGGGGCAGATACATCAGCTGTGCAGCACAAAGGTGTAATACACGATCACAAGCCAGCTTCAGCTTCACATTTCTTTTGTTTCCTACGTAATATTTTGGATAGAAATAGCAGAATAATTGCATTTGTTGTAACACTGTACATAATAATTGTCATCATTTAAAATGCAATTTGGAACAAAAGAAGCCCCTCAACATTGCTGTTGTAAATACCACACATTGTTTTCATATTTTAAGAAAGTCCTATGGCACAATGGTAAATTTTACTAAGGTTAGTATTTCAGGTGCCTGCTAACCAGAGTGAGTGAGAATTGTCTTTGCTGAGCATAATTTGGCTAATGTAGACTAACGCCTAAGAAATTAAATTTCAGTCTGAAATGCTGAAATGTGGCAAAGTTACAAGAAACTGACTCTGGGCAGTGTATAATGCTCAGAACCACTGTTTGTAGGCCACACCACCATCTGGTTCTTAAACTATGTTGTAAAGTAAAATTCCAAGGTAAGATTGTAAATGTACCAGGAAAGAAGAGCTGATTRACAGAATGCAATGATATCTGAAGAGACAGATATGTACAGAGGCAGAAATTGATGTAATTTATTGCTAACACGTCTTTCCCTTGTCTCTCTTTCCCCCTTTTTATTTGTTCAATTTCCGACTCGGAAATGAATAAAAATTAGTTTAATAAAATTTCCCAACTGAGATGCAAAATATTTGGAAATGATTTTAAAGTATACCATGCAGCTGAAATGTCATGGTTAATTTTAATCTGCAGCATGTGTCTAATGTCCCCGGGCTATTTCAATGGTGCAGAAGATTGTAATTATTCACCTGTTAAAGCAAATGCAGCTTTAACAAGTCTGATCACAGCTGAAAAGGAGGAATGGAGAGGACAGGTAGACAGATGGTGTTTCAGTGTGTCATCTGTGAACAATGCCTTGGTAACACTTTAGGAGGAATTATCTGGCTATAAAGAAAAAAAGCATATAATATAAAGTGGACTGGTCCCTGTAACAGCAACTTTTTCTAGGTTTTCCTTTGACAAAGTTTTCTGAGTGAAGKTATTAAAAAAGAGACTGTGTCAGTACAGCTCCCAGCTAGTATAACATATCCTTCCCCATGGAGACAAAAAAATAAGYGAGGTGTCATAAAAATATCATCAGAGGTGACCAAAGCTCTCTTTCRTCAGTGCTGTCTGATATTGTCCTTACAGCAATGGCTCTTTTCGGCTTCTCCTCATCAGCATTTTGGCACTTTTTGCCTTTGATCTAAACTTTACAGAGCCTCATTCACCAAGATGTTGATTGCTCCTGTCCCTTGAGCTGCAGTGACACAGAGAGGAGCTGGGTGAGGCTGTGTCCATCCTCAGGACAGGAGAAGGGATGGGGAGCCCTTCAGCACATCTTCCCCTGGCTCTCAAGAGCTGATCCTCCTCCAAGGTGTGCTGGCACGCCAGTGGCACTGTGAGAGTGCTCTCTGAGATCACAGCACGGGCAGGAACATTGTGTCACTCTGGGAGATTGTTATCTGCCCTGGAGAGAGTAAAATGTAGAAAACTGAGCTGTCCTCTCACGGTACCCGGGGAATTTCTCATTTCCTGAGACCTAAGCTCMAGTAAATGAACTTTTTCAGCTGCTTTTGCCCAGTGTTACATGCTTTACTCTTTGGAAGGCAATGTCCTCTACAATATCAATTTTAATTTGTGTAATTAATTTTTCTTTTTCTTGATCTTCATTCAGCCCACACTCAGTTAACGTTAAGTAGTTCAAATCACAAAAAAACCTTTTCACAGAAGCCTGTGCCCATGTAGCAGCAAACTTGGCTTAAAATCATGTCTCTTGTAAATGGAAGGTAAAAAGCTCTTTGAAGTGGTAATGAAGCAAGTTCCTGCTGCATAACAGAAAGTTTTGATAAGATCATGTTTGTTGGGAGAATACTTACCAGAAGAGCTGTAAATTCATTGTGTGGAACCAACATCCCCATGGAAAGTAGTTCCATGGGAAGACCAAGCTGTTCATTCACCCTCCTTGCAAAATGCATCCTCCTTCCTCTGTGCATTTCCTTGGAGCAGGCAGGTGTGGATGTCCAGGCTGTCTCCCAGTGGCTCTCTCTCCTGGTGGATCAGAGCCAGGAACACATAATATTCTGTTTTTCGACTGAAGAACAGTGAAATCCCTCAGGGCTTTCATTCTTTCCTTCTCTGGGAAAAACAAGAGGATTGCTAGGAGATTGGAGAGGTCTGGGCTGTCCCTCAAGAGGCTGTGACAGTAATGTCATACTCCTCCCATTCTCCACACTGTGSTCAAAGCATCCATCTTCCCAAATTCTTGTTCCTTCTTCAGAATTTCATAGGCTTTTGATCTGAACTGTCCTTTGTGCTTTCTTTGTGCTCAGTTGAAATATTTTACAGTGTAATGTTTTGAAAAATACAGGATACGTGTATATCTTCTATAATCTTACCATACTTCAATGCTAAATATTGTTTTATCTGACCCCTATTTATCAATTTGTTCTGCTTAGCAAACCTTTCTGGCAGTGCTGAGAGCCAACAGATAGTTCAGAGTCAGAACAGCACCACAGCTCCTCCACCATTTCAGCTCATGAAATCTCCTAGGTAGAGAAAACACTGAAAAAAACCAACAGATGGCAGCTTTCCAGACAAAGCCATTTGCAGAAAAAGCAGATTTTAAAGAGACTGAAGCAGTTGGAATTCTTTTGGGAAAACCAAGAACCAAGCAAGGGTAGTAGAATGACAGAATCATGAAATGGCTTGGGTTGGAAGGGACTTTAAACATCCTCTAGTTCATCCAGTTCATCTAATCATCTATTACCAAATGCCCTGATGTGGGCAGGGATGCCACCCACTAGACCARGCTGCTCAGACACTTATGCACAGTGCAGTATTGAAAACAGAAAGCAAGAGAAAGACTTTTAGATTTATAGATACTGATTCTGGTGGGTTTGAGGTTGGAAATAAAAATCACAGCGAAGAAGGTTAAATACCCACTTCAAAGAGAGAGAACAAAATGCCAGGACCTCTCTGGTATTTCCCAGCACATTATGGCAGTAAAAACCTCATTTCAGTAAATGTGTATTGGCTGATGCTCTACATGCTTTGGTACAGGAAATCTCCTTTTGATTGTTTAAAAAAGATCAAAGTGAACGTCACGTACTCATGAAACGCTGATGACACAGGCACAGCTCTCTGTCTTTAAGGAAGAGCATGATGGGACAAGACTGTCTGAGGGCCCTAAAAGGAGACACTGTGTTCCCTAAACATGAACATGTATCATCATATATCATCATAKATCATCATRKATCATCATGTATCATCTAGGGGCTCAGAGGGATGTGCTTTTAGCCAGCTGGGCTTGAGATGTGGCCTCAATCACCACTGACTCTAATGCCACAGCATGGACAGGAGAGCAGCGTTGTCCTTCCACATTCTTCACTCTTCCTGCAGTCACAACTGGTTGCTCAGGTCTCTTCCCAAGGTCCAAATCCCCAGTGGACTGCAGCTTGCTGGGGAAAGCAGCGGGGAGAAGCAGTGATGGCTGTTTTTCTCCATGAAGTTGTGGTGGGACCATGGGACATCATCTGGCACATTCCAAAGGATGGGGAGAGGAGGGCAGAGTCTCAGCTGTGCACAGRGAGATGGTCCCTGCAGCMGCCCYGACAGGAGGGAATGGCTTTGTGCCCTCCCTGTGGGAGTGCAGGCGTGGGGGCAGAGATCACAAATCACCACAGGCACGTTGATCCCACTTGGCGGGGTTGTAGCAGAGTGCCAGCTGTTAAAAACTTCCTGCTTGGGCAAATTATACCAGGCATCACTTTGCAAAGGTTGCTGTAATGACTTTTAAACAGGAATTTCTCCAGGAGCCATGACACAGAGTGAATTGCAATCATACAATGTCTGTGTCATTGATGGCTTCTGCTATTTTCTAGGAACTGCTATAATGCCATGCATAACTAGAAAGAAATACAGTATTTTGCTGCTCTCTTAAGAATAAGAACTGATGGTCAAATAGGGAATGRTCYCTGAAATCCTGMTGTGTGTTCATGTAAATCTGCRTGGTGTGAAATGRAATCACAGAGCCACAGAATCTGCYGAKTTAGAAGGGACCCCTCAGGATCAYTGAGAGMAGCTCCTGGTGYTGTGCAGGATCCCAYRAGAATCACACCAGGTGCCTGAGAGCCTCGTCCAATTCAGTCTTTCTTACTGATACTATCTAAACTAAGATTGTACCCATGGCGCTGCTATTAATTGTCTCTACTTCTGACCTAAATGTTTTGGATATTAGTGTAGTAATCTACCACATCATTCATTCAGCATATTGGGTTCACCAGAAAAGAGTGACTTTGGCCTGAGTTGTGTTTTGTGCTATTAGTGTATGAATCTTTATTGCCCAAAGACTCAGATTTCAAAAGAAGGAAAATTCCATACTCTTATATGACTCTTTTATCAGTACTTGAGATTTGGGAATGTATGGGCAAAGCAAGGAGTAATTGATTTACCTCCTTTTTTTTTAGGTTTAGCTTTCCAAATAAATTACTCCCATGATACTGCTTCTGCTAACATCTGCATTTAAATGAGTCACAGAACAGTAATGCTATCTGTCAATAATGCACCTTCTCTTTTTGCAGGGAAAGTGTTTCTGGTGTGTGTCAGTGAAAGGAGGTCACTGAAAAAATTAATAAAAATGCTGAGGAAGCAGAGAAAGCGATGCCATTTAACCTAAAATAACTGAATACTRCTAAACTAGATCTGTCAGACCAATYCCTCTCATCCCAAAAGAACCCAGTAGGTTTAACACTGTATCTGGCCTGTGARCTTTTTAGCTACCTAGAGCCATTASATTGAATTTCTTTTTAAGGAAAATTTAGTAGACGAGCAGACTCTCATGTAACAATGTAGTTCTTGTAAAAACYGTTCAGGAGAAATGAGTGATAAATACCTGCTGATGTTTTTTTTCACAGGCATCAGGGTTATGTTTATACCTACAGAGTGTCCCAGACAGAAAGCGGATCCTGGAGTGCTGAGGTTTGTACTTCTCCTTTCCCTYCTGAAAATTTCTACATCCTGTTTGGTATAGATTATAGATTTAATGAAATATATTCAAATTATTCATGTTTCTGCCTRGTCTGATTTGCATTGATGGTAATCGATCTAGAGTGCATCCATCAATAAGATGTCTTGGTGCCATTTCTGACAGTCTAGAACTCATAAATTAATTCCCTGTTTCATTTCAGCTGTTGCATAATGCAATGGTGCATCATTTTGCATCATTTGAAATGGCAAAAATATTGTGGTTTTATAATTTGATAAGCACAATCTGTTTCCTTCTATCCCATGTACCACTAATGTCAGAATATTAAAGAAATAATTTTCAGTGCACAGAGTTTTAATTCATTAATCCGAATAAATTCATCATTACTGYAAAATATATATAGGGTAGTCAAAACTTGATAAAAAATACATTTTCCCCCATCTGACAAGAAACCGGTGATTTGGGTGCAGAAAAACATTACTTGCAATACAGACAGCATTTAGATTGATGCAATTRGGATGTTAATCTGTATTTATTTTATGAATTTGTTGTTCTTTGGATGTACTCTTTGTATTAATTCCTAATCAGCTTTTTGTTTGTATGYTAATGAACATGTATGACAAATATTCCATAATTTCTAGACAGGCATAATTAATATTAGAAGTGATTCTGGAGGACCAAACCGATTCTTGGGGTTTTCCAGAAGCAGATCAGGGTGTCTGTCTGACATTACAGAGCCTCAGCTTTAGCAGCAGCATCCCAGGTCCAATTTATCCCCATGGAATGTGTTCCCAAGGCCAAAACAGGCTCCAAATGCATCTGGTCCTTTCCTGTCTCTGCTTCCTTATCTATGAGCAAGCTCAGGTCATACCCATCTTTCAAGGCTGAGGCAGGGAAATTGAAAATGGTGAAATCCCAGCTGGTGTGAAGGCTCCAGCTGGTGCCAGGGAGKTTGGATTTAGCTCCCAGCTGCTGGGTGAGAGCAGCATCCCTCGAGTGGGACTGTGCTGGCAGGACCTGTGCTTGTCCTCCCTTGACTCTGGTGAGGAGGAGTTATTACGAGAACACCCTGAAGGATTTAACACAAATTAAAAGCACACAGAGCTTCATTTCATACTGTTTGAAAAGCTGCAAATATAGAAGGGCAGAAAAACTCCCACTTTTTGTAAATGGTAATATTTGGCTGCTGTCTTTGTACAAGAGGTAGACAGGAATACTCAGTGAACACATAAAGCATCATTGAATGCTCTGAGAAGGGTTTGCAAAGAGCTGTGTCCTTGCTGGAATTTAGAGGTGTGAGGACTCCCTCYCTGCAGCATGCCCAGGGTGCTCTCTAGGATTTCTTCCTGGTGTTGCTGGGATGGAGTTGTGTTGCTGACACAGGCTTGGAGGTTATTGCTAGGGAGGTTAAATCACTGGCTGCAGCAAGTCAGGGTCAGAAATAGCAAAAGGTCATTTGTAAGTCTGCCTAATTAGAGTGGCAGGCGAGTGTGGGTAATTAGTGTGGGTTTCTCTTGCAGTGGGTAAGAAATTGTCCCTCTTCCAACTTTCCATCACCGTGCTGCTGGAAACTGCTCAGTGCAGGAGGGCTGGGCTGCCCTGGGGGCAGGAGGGCTGGGCTGCCCTGGGGGAAGGGGAGAGCAGTGCAGCCATTGACTGATCTTGGGTGGCACCTCAGGGGTGTCTGGTGYTGGGGACAGGGGACAGGGGACAGGCTCTGTGTGCCCCACCCAGCCCCCTGCTCACCTCTCCYGCTCTGGCTTTGCAGACAGCTCCTGGCATCCACCGGAGGCTCTTCCGCAARGTGCACAACCTCATTTTGGCCTTCCAGAAACCCAACCAAGGCATTGTCACACCCCTGCAGCACCCCGTCGTCAACCTCGGGAAACTCAACTGCTCCCCAGGTACTGGTGGGGGGAGAAACCTCGGCTGAGCTGAGCAGGGATGGAGATCTCGGCCATCAGAATGACATTGCCAAAAATGTGCCCTAAATTTGCTTCTGTGTGATTGAAATRCTGTCACTCAGGTGCTCGTTACGGACAGGGCCTGTCAATGTGAGGAGAAAATGGATTTTGAATATGTATTCCTGAGTGCTGTGGCAGCAGTRGCTGCCTTCCCTCACCAGCCCCCTTGCTCAGGGAGGTATGASCCTCCTGGRCTGTCCATTTGTTCATCTGYTCATGTCTTTGTGATTATTTYTCTTAGGGAGGAATGAARGCTCTGATGTCCACCTGCAGCCATCGTGAGGATGTCTCCCCAAGTGTGACATAACCCCAACTTCCAGTGTCTCTCCATGCTTTCAAACAGAATGATTTGTGTGGTAGTAAATACAACTCTGTGAGTTTTCTTGTAACATTTGCAAAATGTGTATTTCATAGAATTTATAGCTCAAAATGCAGAAATTGATGTTTCAGAATACTTTGAACTTAAGGTGCGATATTTTTTGGTTTTGTTTTTGTTGTTCCTGAGAGGATAAAACCCATGAATTGCTAAATCCTTTATGTCTTTTTTCTTTCCCTTTGTACTGCCAAGTAAAAGATATTTTTCGCTTCAAAATTAGTTCTTAATTAGTAATTAGCTATTAATTTTACTTTGCTTAACTTTGGATTCTGCTTTGCTTTGTTCTGGTTGACATTTATGCAGAACTGAGCAAGTCCCTTTTAGAGCCTCAGGAGAATTGTTCACATTAAAGTGTCCTTGCCTTGGGTGGGCTGTATGTTTGTCATTCATACAGTTCCTAAAGTCATTCCAGAAGTGACACCATGAGGATCCCMACTAACTGATTTCCCATCAAACCAGTTGCTCTGCCCTGTAATAAAATCTGTACTTTTCACCAATGACCAGGAGCTTAAGCAGTGCATGAAGGAACTGGAAACAGCCAGCAAAGTGGAAAGCCTTGTTCTTTGCTTTTAGGTGCTCCCTGTACTTGAAACAAGCCATCCTCGCATACAAGTTTAAAAAATAAATTATTTTTGCATGACAATTGTGTGAGTGAGACAGTGAGGGTAATAAAAGATTTTCTGTGAAGCCAAGTTTCTTGTAAACCAGCAATAAGAATAAATGCAAAAAATGAATAGCCAGCCTCAACAGCGGCTGGTGGGCAACACTGTTTGCAAAGTTGTGTTGTGTTGTGACATTTTCAGTTCATGACTCAGTTTCTAATTGAAGGCTGAGTTTCATCTGCAGTGAATGAACTGTCCCATCATATTTTACACTGCATCTGCATGGGTTGCTCTGTGCCTTCTTTGTGCTTGTGGGTTGAAATGAGCCTTACATTAACACAGTGCCATACAGTGGCAGATCCAGCACGGTTTCCTCTTCAATAAAATATTTAAAGGCTGTTTTTTYAATCGTTACATAACTCAGCAAACACGCTGGCTGGTTTGCTGTCACTTGTGCCCGTGGAAGCCTTCCCTCCTCCTCCCTGCCTGAAAGGTTTCCCAGCTTGCTGTGAGCCTGTACATCTGGTYCCTGGCAGCTCCTGCCCAGCTCTGTGCAAACCATCCTTCCCAAAGCCCTGTGAGCTGCTGGGTGCTGGCAGGGTGTGCACAGCCCCAGCCTTCCCGGGGAGCTCCTCTGCATTCCTGGGCTGGGAAAAGGAACCAGTGCGCCTGGAAACCATCCCTGGCAGATTTGCAGGATACGTGCAGTGGAAAGAACTTTGCCCAGGGGCTGTTTCCTACAGAGCTATCCTGTTGACCTGAGGCTGAGGCTGCATGTGCAGAACCTGTGGCACACCAGCAGCAGCCACTTTGCAGTGCAGTGAGCTGAGCRTAACTGGTTTGACTATGGTTGGCTCCAGAAGCGCATTGTTCTTCTGAAAAATACATAAAATAGGCCAGAAGCTGCCATTTCTGTTTAAAGCTGAGAATGTCGTTTCAGTTTCTCATGTAAATTATTAAAACAGAGGCTTGTATTGTTTCTTTTGGGTACCCAAGGGTCTGGAATTGCTGTAGGCTTAAACAAGGTGGAAACAGAGGGAAACCGATGGTGCCTGTGAGACAAGAAGTAGATGCTTGGTTATGGGAACAGTAATATGGAAATTATATAGATTTCATACRATGACAGGTGTGAAGAAATCCTTTCAGAGACAGCAGCTGCATTTTGCAGGCATGACTTCCCGCACAATGTCAGCATCACCTGCTGCTTCCTTCCCCTCATCTCTTCGGGCTGCAGCTCCACAGGGCTCAGCCCCTCACTATGCCTTCCCCTCCCAGCCCTGTCCCCTCKCTGCCACAGCCCCAGCTCTGCCAAGTGGCTTTTGAGCTCTCAGTGTTTCCCTTGCCCTGTCCCTAGCAAAGGCACTGCTGCTCCTGTTCCCTGCTCCAGCTTTGCTCCCTGCCCGAGGCTCTCACAGCCCTCTCGCAGCCACAAATCAATTCAGCCTCCAAAACTGCTTTTCTTCCCTTCCCTTCCCTACAGAAGCACCCCTTTGGAATTGCTTCCTTCTCATCCATCCAGCACAGCCTCAGCCCTCCTGCTTGGTTCTCACCCAAGATTTTTCACCATGTAAGCTTTCCTTCAGCCTTAAGCATTCCTTGTGCCCCTCCATTCCTTGTTCCCCTCCTCTCTGCTGCATGTTTGGGCTTTTAATGTTTTATTTTCCTGGGCACATACTTAGGATACACACAGTCATTCATCATCATCTATTTGAGGCAGCTCAAAAGAACATGCAGATACTTAAACTTTGCTACTTACACTACCACTACATGGACTCACCCACTCTGTTATTACGAGTGCAAAGGCATTTAGCAGAATTATTGTTTACTCTTTCACATTTGCTTTGATGAAATAGAAATGAAATARAATTTGCACAGAAACTGGCTGGGATTTCACCTGCAGCGAAACCTGCAGTTATAGGCATGAACTTTGGTGAATCAAAAGTAAATTAAATCTTGCTAAGCAACACTTCGCCCCCAGCTTTTGAATCAACCAATATTGGCTGAAGTCCTTATTTAGCTCTATGGAAGCACCTTTTACTGACATAATATCTCAAATACTGATGTAAACAAACACAGCATCACACACCATAAGTTTGCACCTTTATTTTTTAAAAATGAAATAGTCAAAGTACTTTCTTTTTCAAATATCGACACATAATATATTAACTTTCAATATTTACAGTGTGTTGCTGGGATGTTCTTGTAGAAAATGCATGCTTCTGGTCTGAAACCCAGAGCAAAATGCATCAGACCATTTAACTGCAGCCATATAACATAAACCTGTACAGTATCCAGTCACTATTCAGCACAGGAGTTAGAGCAGGAATAAAAAAATTGGGATCTATTGTTTCCTAGCAACGAGGCTGAGGCCATTATAACACAATTTCTGTAAGATCAGAACCTCTAACTGGTGTTAGACAGAAAGTGAAGATCTTGGCATACATTGTAAACATTTTTTACTGTTGATGAGAAAGCTAAAAAGGAACATTACTTTGACATATATCGTATGCTATGCTTCTCGTTCTTGTTTATTGACACTTCTGCCAGAAGAGTATGAAGATTTTAATGTTTTATCATGGTTCATACAAGTAAAATACTGTCAAGGACACAATCTGATATACTAACATTTATTAAAAGGCTAAAGTCCACCACGAGATCTAAGGAAAAACTGGAAATTGTCAAACACGTTTCCTTAGACAAATAATGGCAGGTGACAAATGCCCAGACAAATCCACAGCGAGTCCAACTCCATCATTCCCAGTTTCTGCCTGGAAGCGACTCCTCTGGCAGTCAGGGTGCTTTCAACCTGGTAATGCTTTTAATCAAGGAGAGGTTTGATAACAGTCAGAGTTTGATGGGAAAACCCCTGGGGCTGTCTGAGCCGGGTGTCGCTGGGTGTCACCACCCAGATGAGCGTGAACACCCCGGGCACTGCCTGTCTGCGGCTCGGCTGAACCTGGAGCTCCTCTGCCTCAGCCATTTCCCTTCTGGAACAGCACCTTGGCTTCCAGCAGCACCCACAGCTCCCCTTGGAGCAGCTCCTGCTCCWGGCCCAGCCCTGGGTGCTGCTGGGGGCTCCGTGGGCAGGGGGTGCAGGGTGGGACCCCAGGGCACGGCCGAGGAATGGGAGAGCTCAAACCAAAGAGCCAAGGTGTGTATGCCCAGTTGCACATTGACCAGTTCATATATATTTATTTGGCTATGTTCTACATAGATATCTATATATATATATTTATAACTTTGAAATGTTCTAGATTTRCTAAATAAATATGAAAGCAAAGGAAATGTTACTTGCGCACACTATTTGTTTGGCTGTTATAAAAAATATAGCACGTATTTCTCATGGTAGGTACTTGGCTACAGGATAGTGTGCAATAGTGGATTTTAGTTCATTTTAACTTACTTTATTTTATAATTAATTTTATTTAATTATTTGATTTCATTTTTCCCTTTCAGAACCTTGTTTGCAGTGCAGAATGCTAGCATCAAATTATTTGATATAAATAACAGTAAAAATTTCCATGCTATTGTTTTTCTTTTTTTCTCAACTGGGTCTCTGGGTTATAGTGCAAAATACAAAATTATAAAAAAAAAAAAAAAAAAAAAAAAAAAAAAAAAAAAACCAAAAAAGAAAGGAGAACAATATGAAAAAATCCCAAACCCACGAAAAAACCCACTGAGAAATTGGTCAAACTACTAAGGAAATAAAATGGAGACTGAAATATTCCCTGCCTCCATCTCAGGTTGTTCATGAACAAGATGGTCCAAAGCTATTTGTTCATGTAGTTCTCACAAATCACTGCTGGCTGGCCCATGTGTAACTTCAGTCTCCCATGCTCTTCCAGCAATAACTCGTTTCTTGAGTACTGTCATCTCAACACGACATTCATATTTAGTTCCCTAAATTTAAGAAACTGTTACGATGAAGGAATTTTTTTTTGCTTTTGTAACTGGGCCATGTAATGTCATGTGAGTCTTAATGAATCCATATTCTCATAAGAAATGTTCAAAACGTACCTTAGACTGCACCCAGGAAATGGGAAAATGCCAAATCTACTTCCAARGACAAACTTGTAACACATTTCACTCTTTGACCTTTTGGCATAACATGAGAACAACAGTAATCAAGGCAGTATTAAAAACCACAGCTGTAGGTAATACAAAGTGCATTTCCTGCATATAATACAAATGTAACTTTAAGAAACTAAAGGCACAAGCTAACTAAATATGTATTACATACTAGAAATGCACAGTTCAAGGTTAACTCTAATAGCTTCAAATATTTGTTTATAATGGATATTTAAAGCAGTTTGAAAATGATCCTCATTAGTGAATTGCAAAAAAGTATAATTGCTTAAAATATAAGTAAAATAGACTCTAATATTGACATCTTGGATCAGTGATAAAATACATCATCACATTTATGAATGCACTCTCTATATACAATTCATAAATTATTCTTCCATTGATCAAAAGCATATTAGAGGCTCAAGGATTTGAAGGTCCATTTTTAGGCTGGTGTGGAGGTATTCAAATTCTCCATGATTGTATGGAAATCTACAGAAATGTGAGCTGTCAAACCTGGACGTTGCCAGCTCCCTGTTCTGTACATGAGTTAATGATGAGCCTGATCACAATGTGTATGTGCAGATTTTGGTCCACAGTTCCCCTGGCTGGGGATGGAGGAGGATTTCAGGGGCCAGGCTCCCACTCAGCCTGATCCTGCACCCCCAAAGCTGCGCTGGCTCCCAGGGGAGCAAAAGGAATCTGGGAAGA